ATCTCAAACCCTGCGGTCTCATCTACCAGTTGATCAATATTGGGCAGAGGGAAGGGATCCATAGGGCACGCCTTGTTGAGGTCGGTGTAGTCCACGCACATGCGGAAGGTAGGGGGTTTCTGTGCGAGGACTACGTTGGCCAGCCATGAGGGGTATTTCACCTCCTTGATGTGCTTAATTGAGAGGAGCATGGCGACCTCCTTCTTCACAAATTCCCTTCTCTCGGCCGAGAGGGGCCTTCTTCGTTGATGTACTGCTTTTGCCGAGGGGTCCACCGAGAGGCGGTGGGTGATGACCCTTCGGCTGATTCCCGGCATGTCCTCCGGCCCCCATGCAAAGACAGTGGAGTAGGCGCGGAGGGCGTCGGTGATACCGGTCTTCAAATCTTCAGGGAGCTGGGCTCCAATCTTCACGACTCTCTCCGGCTGGGCCGGATCGAGCGCAAAGTCTTCTACGTCCTCGGCTGGTTCAGCCCTCGGCCTTTTTTCTTCTTGGTCGATGGTTCCGGTGATGGTGTCAACACGGAATTCCGTCTTGCTTACCTTCTTAGTGACTTGAAGATAGCAGGCGCGGGCGATTTTCTGATTCCCCCGGGAGTAGCCAATGCCCCCCTCGGTGGGAACTTGAGGCAGAGGTGCCTCATGGAGATGATGGCCTCGAGGTCCTCGAGGGCTGGTCGGCCGAGGATAATGTTGTGGGCGCAGTCGATGTTGACAACGATGAACTCCACTTCGAGCTGGGCTCTATGGAGCCCGTCGCCGAAGATCACCGGGAGGGTTATTACCCCCTCGGAATCAATAGTATCGCCGGTGAAGCCGACAAGAGGGGTCTTAATGGGCCGAAGGGACCCCCTCTCCAGATGCAGTTCTCTGAAAGTGCTGAGGTACATTACATTGACGGAACTGCCCGTGTCAATGTAAGTTCGGTGAATGATGGTGTCGTTTATTTCAGTCCGAATCACCAAGGCATCCCTATGAGGAGGAGAAGTAGGGGGGAGATCTGCGTTGGTGAAGGTGATGGGTTCCTCCCTCAGTCGTTTTACCGGGGGCATATGAGTGACCTCCCCCACGTAAAGCGATTGAGCCCACTTCTTCCGCTGGCTGGTGGAATCGCCCCCTGTATTGCCACCGGTGATCATGAGGATGTGGCGTTTTTTCTCCTGGTAGTGGGGGTACTCCCCCTCTCCCTCCTCCAAGTTTCCGATCTCCCTCTTCTTGCCGAGGGGGACGGTGTTCGGGTTCACCCAGGCGTTTACCTTCGTGTGGTGCCCTCGGGGAGGTCCCTGATGAGAAGGTCCCTCCTGTCGAGGGCTCTGAACAAATTGGGACAGGTGCCCCGCTTGTATCAACCTCTCGATGGCCGTCTTTAGCTGATGGCAGTCATCGGTTCTGTGCCCCTGGTGCCGATGGAAGCGACAATATGGGAATTGAGGGTTGATAGCGTGTACCTCCGGGGGCGCGCGAGAATCGCGCTCAACGAGGCCCCTCTCCTCGGCAAAATCAAGGATGATGCTGACGGGGTGCGTTAATGGTGTCCGAGGGCGGTCCAGGAGTATGGGCTGTGCCCAAGTCTTGGGGTTGCTCTTATAACCTCCCCCGGTCTTGGCTTGGCCTTGCCGAGGGCGGTCATCAGAGGGTCCTGAAGCCTTGGGACGATTTGGAGGAGCCCCCGGCCCTCGGTTGTTCCTGTTGTCAGCCCTCGGGGGCTGCTGATCCGGATGTTGGTGATATTTCTCCACCTCATCGGCCTCAGCATATCGGTCCCCCCGCTGCAAAGCCCTTATGTAGTCGTGGGGGGGTTCAATGATGAGGCTCCTTGAAAAGTTGCCGGTGCGGTGGACGGTCTGTAGGAGGGCCAGGAGGGTCCCGTCATCAGCACCGTCGACTTTGTCGGCTTCCGTCCTCCAGCGCTCCAGGAAGTCCCGAAGGGTCTCATCCCTCTTTTGGCGTATTGTTAGGAGGTGGGAGAAGTGCTTCCTTGTGCGACGCCTCCCGGCAAATAGCGTCAAAAATCGCTGGGCGAGTTCTTGCCACGAATCAATGCAGCCCTCGGGCAGCCTGTTGAACCATTCGTAGGCCGGCCCCTCTAAGGTGGAGAGGAACCAACGACACAAATATTCGTCTGACGCCCCTACCATCATCATGCTGTTCTGGTATTAGCTGTAGTGTTCCTGGGGGTCCGTTTTCCCGTTGTAGGGCTGTATGTGTTGCCCTCGGTATTTTTCCGGGATCCGGGCCGCCAATACCCTTGGGGTAAATGGCGTCCGAGTCCGGAGCTGGATGACGGGTTCCCCGGAGCCCTCGGCCACCTTCCTCTGTAATTCCTCCATCTTGGCCATCATGGCCTCGTATTTGAGGTCTGAATGAGGGGTGGAGGTGGTGGCGTGGGCTTTGTTGGCCTCCATTTCGTCAAGCCTGCGTTGGAGGGCCGCAATAATTTCGTCCCGGGGATCCTTCGGGAGGGTCTCCGCCCCCTGCGAACGAACTCGGGCCGAGTGGGCCTGGTTGATCTGGTGGCGAGCATCGTCGGCATGAAGGGGGGCCTTGCCTTTGTCCCGAGGGGGACGCTCCTCGTTTGCCCTCGAGACAGACCCTCCGCTTTCCTGGGGCCTCTGGAGTGCTTTCCCTCCGAGGCGGTCTTGGACCCCTCGGCGGTCTGGCCCTCCTCCGAGCCGGTTGAGGGCGGAAGTGCGGGGCCTCTCTCTGTTGTCATTGTGGCGGTCCCGGGATTGAACTTCCTGGGAGGACGTATCTTGGGCCACTACCCCTTCGTCGTTCCTAACCCGAGGGGTGGCGTTTCCGAAGGGGTGTGGCAGAGGGGGAAATATGATGTTCTCCCCAACCTGGGGTTGCGCCGGAGCCAGGGTGCCGAAGGCACCCGGGTTCTGAGTGAGCGTTTGGATGAAGGCGGAGAGCGCCGATTGCACGTCGATGGTGAGAACCGGAGGGCTGACTTGGTCATCGCTCCGGTTTTTCTTCTTGGCCTCGATGCCGAGGCGTGCATCGGGGGCATTCTGTTGGATCTGAAGGCGTAGGTCGACAGCCGCCTGTTCCAGCCCAGTGATGACACCGTCCTCGGGAGCCCTGTGAGAGGCTTCGGGGGCGTTGAGGTCGCCGAGGGCCAGGTTATTGTCTTCTACGTTTTTGGAGCTGTCACGTGTTGTTCTCACCATTTTGGTAGAGGGCCAGTGTTTGGCGAAGGGGGAGGGTTTCTTACTCGATCTGTTCGACCTCTCAACGAGAGCACCAAATGATGGATAGTCTACCCGGGGGTATATATCCGAAGGGTTATTGCTGAGAATAACTTAGAGAGAAGTCAGAGCAAGTAAATGTAGAGAGAGAGGGTGTATTATAAATGTGGAGCGTTTTCAGCGTGGTTACAAATGGGGAAATGTGGTGCTATTTATAGTAGCAATAAATGCCGGATAGGGACACGTGTCAAGCGCCTATTGGCCGAGAGGTCACCTCAACTGGTTGGCGTTGACAGCCGTATGTGGCCGCATTTAATGCGGCTGTTGGATGGGACGTCTGTATAGGGTACGGTGATCTGTACGCATGTGAGGCGGATATCATGTCGGGCGAGGTGCCCTCGGCTGCAGAGGACTAGCCGAGGGCTCTTAGTGCCAAGGACCCCTGAGTGCCGAGGGCTCCAGGTGCCGAGGGCTACTGTTCTCGCCGTTTTCTCCCAGTCCCTCTGTTTGTTCGAAATACCCGTTCTGTGAGAGTTTGGAGCCTTCGGCCAGGGGGCCGAAGGCACCGCCTGGTGCGTATTGCGGGCTGCTGGGTACTCTGGGCGCCGCGATTTGGGCCTGTTGGGCCTTCTGGGCCTGTTGGGCCTCCACTGGAGTAGTAGGAGTCTGTGGGCCGGGTGTTCCCGGACCATATACTCCATCAGGTTACATACACAGAATTCATCATACACACATCACACAAAACATAGTGAAAAATGAAGTGAAATGGAGGTAAAGATTATTATTGTCCTTCCGAATCGCTGTTATGCACTTCCTCCACAGTTTTTTCGCATTCCTCATGTTCTGCACCGTCATCGAACCTGTCCTCGTCGCCTGACCATGAATCCAAGCCTTCTTCCCAACTACCTTTTCTTCGCACCGATGTCACCTCTTCTCCTTCTTCCTCATCAAGTCCCTCCAAACCATCGTAGGTGTCAGAAACGAGATTGTCACCATATTTCTTCCGCAATCGCCAGTTCGGATCGGTCTCTGAAGAACTGTAAGGTGAAAACCGGATGAATCGCCAGAATGGAACTGAGCTAGGCGGATCTGAAATAGGCGATGAATCCACAACATGTGCTTTGTCAGTTAACGACACATCTTCTGCGGGAATTTTTTATCCATGCAGGGGGATTGGCGATGGAGGTGGACGGATTCACAGAGATGGTGGTAGATGACGAGGAATTAGAAAGAGTGTCCACCTAGGATTTTTCGGAGAGGGTGATGATTTAGGGGTTTGAAAGCTGGTGCGATGGAAAGACAGTGGATTATGGGGCGACGGAGGACGATGGGGGAATGGAGGGTTGCAGACAAAGGGGAAGGATAGAGAGGCAATGATAGAAGAAAGAGAGAGGCATAGAGATAATAATGACAACCGGGTAGAAGGGAGGGACATGTAGGTGTAGGGTAAAATATGAAAAAGGGTAAGATGGTAAATTCAATCCAAAAACTTACTAAATATAAAAAGAAAATGAAGTGTGAAGTTTATGTAGGAACTGACCGAAAAGGAAAGTGAGAAGTTTATTTAGGGACGAAGGGAGTATTTGAGAAATTATGAGGGCTATGTGTTGATCTAGAGGCCCGAACCCTTAGATGTACCCAGACCCGTCCACGTTTTTCGTTTCAAACGGGAACCAGAACCGCTGGTTTTGAATCAGAACTGAAACCGGTTCCTTAAAATTTGAAACCTTGAACCGGCGGTTCCATTCAAGTTCTTGGTTTGGTTCCTAATTCGTGATCTAAAGGCCTTGTACAATGCGGTATACGTAATTCCTGATCTAAATGGTTTGAGGCAAAGGCAGAAACCAATGAACCGAGGAGTCATCGCTCGTCAACCAGAAGAAGAAATTCTGACAGAAAGAAAGAGAGAGAAACTGAGAGGAATTCTTTCCCTTTCTATTTTTTTCTCTTCTTTCCTTACGAACACAGTTTCACTTTTCTTTTCTGCATATTTTTTACCCCAAATTTGTGCTTCTCGCTCCTTCCATCTCCTCGTTCTCTGTGCAGTCGATCTCTGCCTCCGTCCCTTTCACTGTTAGGGAGAAACAATTGCGGTATTGCATTCCAACACATTTTTTCTTTTGGTATTTTCTTTCCCATTTTACTTTTACGTTGCTCAATTATTACAAGAAACCGATCAGGAGTAATGAACTCAGAGAGTACTGTCCAGAGATCTGTCCTCTCAGATCTGACATTATTATTTTGCGCCATGATTTCGTTTTCAGTGCGTTGAAGGATCTCCAATTTCTTCCTTTCACCAATTCATATACGACAGCAGCGCTCTGTCCTTGGGTGTTCACAGGTCGGGACTTGTCCACCTTTCTCGCTCTTTCTCTCTCCCCTCCTGCAACAGGGAAATGATTATCATGTTTCGCCAATTTCGGTCTGTTCTTCTTCTTGGAATTAAATACCATGTTATGATACCTCTGATTTTTTTATACATTTTATGATCATGGTTGCGCCCTGTCAATGATTTCTCTTGATAGGATTTTGGGGTTTTCTGCATTTCAGTTTTGGCATGTGCAGTTAGCTGCCCAATGAATTTTGTTGTTTGCGGAGTAAAGCTTTATCTGTCCACCTTCACGTGAAGCTGCAAGCTCGCTGGGCTTCTTAGAATTTTCTCTTCTTACCTTGGGGTTGGGTGCTAGTTCAAACCGGCTAAAGGTCAGCTTTTAGTGCTTTCTTTTTATTTTTCACTGGAACGCTTCAATGTGCAATTGTGCACTAGAACTAGATGTTTAATTATTCATATAAATTGTGTTGTTTACTGGGGTTGTGAAAAATGCAGATCTGCTATCTGGATGTTCTACTTTGGGCATAATTTATTCTGCAATTTTAGAAGGAGTTCCATATTAAACAAGGATTGGTGAGGACAAAATTGCATTTTCCTCTCATTTGCTTGTTTACATTTCTTAAAGGATAAAGTTAGTAAAAGATTTGATTTTGGAGAAGCGTCCTTTAGTTTGCCTGCCATAGACAAGGGTAGGATACAATTTGGACAGATGGAATTTTGGGTGGTTTACCTAAACCCTTCAATGTATCTCCATTGGAGGAATTTGGATGATGTCTAGCAAACCATTGGTGTCATCAACTGATCTTCAACTTTTGCCAAATGCCTATATGACTCATTCTTCATCTAGAATCAGCTCATCAGAATCAGAAATTATAAGACATAAAACTTTGTTATCATCCTCAACTTTTGACAAGAAACATAAAAGTGAGTTGATGATGTGAAGTAGGTCCCGGAGGGCGGCATTGCCCCACTCGGTGCTTTTACTACTTATTCTCATACAAAGAAAAAGCAATTCCATTCTTCTGAGCTTCGTTTCCGTCCACAGTCTATGCTCGAATGCCCCTCATGTGAGAGAAAACGTCATGTACCTTGGAGTGATGCAATGGACCACCATTGTGATATTGCTTCCTTCGATATTTCTAGTGATACATCTCGGGTTGCCTCATCTCAGGAAGCATCCTCTCAGATGAATTTCTCTTGTGTCCAGGAAAAACTAAGCAAATCTCAGAGGCTTCTTCAAAAAAATATGCAGTTGGAAGAAAACTTGTTATATGTACCAAGGTTAATTCATATTAATGATCCGAAGAAGACGAATGATAAGTTCCAGTTCACTGGAAATGAGATACGGACTAGCAAGTATACTGTACTTAATTTCTTACCTAAGAACCTCTTTATACAATTCCATAGGGTTGCTTATTTATATTTTCTAGCTATTGCTGCTCTAAACCAGCTCCCACCGCTTGCTGTTTTTGGTAGAACGGTGTCCCTCTTCCCTCTTCTATTTGTGCTTTCAGTGACCGCTATTAAAGATGGTTATGAGGATTGGCGAAGACACAGATCAGACCGGAATGAGAATAACAGGGAAGTTTTAGTCCTCCAATCTGGTGAGTTCAGATTGAAAAAATGGAAAAAGGTTCGTGCTGGTGAGGTTGTAAAGATCAAATCTAACGAGACAATTCCTTGTGATATGGTGCTTCTGGGGACGAGTGATCATAGTGGAATTGCTTACATACAGACCATGAATTTAGATGGTGAATCTAATCTGAAGACGAGGTATGCTAGGCAAGAAACAACTTCATTAGTACATGAAGGTGCAGACATTTCTGGGATTATCAGATGTGAACAACCTAACAGGAACATCTATGAGTTCACTGCCAATATGGAGTTGAAAGGGAAGAGGGTTTCTCTCAGCCAATCAAATATTATCTTGCGTGGATGCCAACTAAAGAACACAGAATGGGCGATCGGTGTGGTAGTTTATGCTGGACAAGAGACCAAAGCTATGCTGAATAGTGCACCATCTCCATCTAAAAGGAGCAGACTCGAAGCATACATGAACAGGGAAACCCTCTGGTTGTCCATTTTCCTTCTCACAATGTGCCTTGTTGTAGCAATTGGAATGGGTCTATGGCTAAGGAGACGCAAGGAGCAGCTTGATACTTTGCCTTATTACAGGAGAACATACATCGGAAAAGGCAATACTGAACGGAAATTGTACAGATATTATGGGTTACCCATGGAAACCTTTTTCTCTTTTTTGAGTTCCATCATAGTTTTCCAGATAATGATACCAATATCTCTGTATATCACAATGGAGTTAGTTCGTTTGGGACAATCATATTTCATGATTGGGGACAGGCATATGTATGATAGTGGCTCAAATTCAAGGTTTCAGTGTAGATCCTTGAATATTAATGAAGATTTGGGTCAGATACGTTATGTATTTTCTGACAAAACGGGAACACTAACCGAAAACAAGATGGAATTCAAAAGAGCGAGTATATGGGGAATAAACTATGCAAGTTCCCTTTCTGTTGCTGATAATAACATTGGAGGTAAAAAGTCATGCATTATTTCAAATTATTGCTTCTTATTTTTGAACTCAGATTCAATTACTAATGTGATCTGGCTATGTAAAGATGATACTGTAAGCGGTGTTGACTATCTTTAAGCGTGAAAGTTTATCTAGATAGATTTCTATTTAAGATGATTGAAGATACGGATTAAGGACATAATGTAGTAATATTTGAACTTCATAAGCTTCTTTGGAATAAACGGTCCATCTCTGTCTTTGCATTTCCTTATTGGTGTGTCTGTTTACAGATTATTTTGGCGTTGACACCTCACTTATTTTACATTATCTAGCACTCCCTCCATTCTATTTCATTTGTCCTACACTCCTTTTTAGTCTCTCCCAAAATAATGCCCACTACCTAATTTGAACACAGCTAACTATTTTCTCCTTAAGTTCACACTCTCTCATACTTTTTTGAAACTGATTTGACACAGTTAGCCTCATTTTAGTGGCAATCTGAGAAAGCTGACGAAATTCAAGTGCTTATTTTAATCAAAACTGCGGAGATTGCAAAATGGTTAAATAATTTGGGATGAAGGAAGTACATCACTTATACTCTGAATTTTTTCAGTGCCTATATGCTTCATTTTTTTATTGTAGTATGTAAAATATTCAGAGAGTACAAGTTGTGCTATAATTTATTTGTATTTCTTCATGGTTTTGCTGTCCCAATCATATATGCATATCTGCAGATAAGCAAATACTAACCTGCTAATGAACCTGTGCAGTAAACCCCGAATCAAAGCATGATAATAGAAGATGGAAGCTTAAGTCGGACATTGCCACAGATTCTGAACTCATGGATTTGTTATGTAGTGATTTAGCTGGTGAAGAAAGAATTGCTGCACATGATTTCTTTTTGACATTGGCAGCATGCAACACTGTGATCCCTATTCTCACTCAGAGTCCTTCTAGTGGCACTGAGAGTGAGCTATGTTGTAATATTGGTGCAGTTGAATATCAGGGTGAGTCTCCTGATGAACAAGCACTAGCCGCTGCCGCCGCTGCTTATGGCTATACTCTTTTTGAGCGGAGTTCTGGGCATGTATCAATTGATGTCAATGGAAAGAAACTAAGGTAGATAGTAATCTCACCTGAAACTGTATTGAAATATGACCCCCCCTCCCTCGAAAGGACTTGCAAATTATGCCATGGTAGACAGGTGTCCTACCGTGTTTGGTACTTTTCATGTAATTTTTTTTTCACTGATGCTTTTCTATGATGGGGCTATTAACAAAATGCTGTAAAGTATAGGATAACCATAGTAGCAAATCATTTCAATCATGACATCAAAAGTGTATATGATTCTCTGGCACTCTGTCATGCCACAAAAAACCATTTGTAAATGTGTATTAATATTGGCTTCCGTACCAAGCGGTGGTGGTGGTGGTGCTGTGGCAGCTGTTGCTGCTGCACCTTCCAGTGGCGGTGGGGCTGCCCCAGCTGCTGAAGAGAAGAAAAAGGAAGAGAAGGTTGAAGAAGAATCCGACGATGATATTGGCTTTGATCTTTTTGCAGGAGACGATTAGAGTTGTTTTACTTCTATATGTTTGTTTGGATAATACTATCAAGTTTTAGCATCCCTTCCTGTTTTTTACTCTACAATGAAGACTCCTGAATCTTTTTCTGCCTATTGTATTATTACAATAGCTGAATCATGAACCCAACATCTCCATCTTCATTCTCTTCTCAAGCCTATTTTTGAAAACAATTTTTATTAGAAAACCAGATTTCGTATTTTAAAAAAAGTGTATTAATATTGTTTCCATCGCTTTTTTCTCTTGTAGGCTGGATGTGTTGGGACTTCATGAGTTTGACAGTGTTCGTAAAAGAATGTCTGTTGTTATCCGATTACCGAACAATACTGTAAAAGTGTTGGTGAAAGGTGCTGATACTTCAATGCTTAGCATTTTGAAGAAAGATAATGAAAGGGATGACCGCATCAGTAATTCTACAAAGGATCATTTGAAAGAGTACTCTTCAGAAGGTCTACGCACACTTGTAGTTGCTGCCAGGGATCTTACAGGCGAAGAACTCGAGGAGTGGCAGTGCTTGTATGAAGAGGCCAGCACATCACTGACAGATAGGTCTGCAAAGCTACGACAAACAGCAGCACTAATCGAATGCAACTTAACTCTACTTGGTGCAACTGCAATAGAAGACAAGCTACAAGAAGGTGTACCTGAAGCTATTGAATCTCTGCGACAAGCAGGGATAAAAGTGTGGGTTCTGACTGGTGATAAACAAGAAACTGCAATTTCTATTGGTCTCTCCTGTAAACTCTTGACCTCCGATATGAATAAGATCATAATTAATGGCAATTCTGAAGATGAGTGCAAAAGGCTATTGTCTGATGCCAAGGCTAAATATGGTATTAAGTCTGCTTGTTGCAATAATTGGATCTTGAGATGGAAGAGGGACACGGAAATTTGTTACCACGAAGTTTCTCCAGATGCAATGTTGTTAAAGCTTCCTGTGGAGCACATAGAACAGGAAGGAGGACCACTGAGTTTACCATTAGCACTCATTATTGATGGGAATAGTCTGGTATACATTTTAGAGAAAGACCTAGAGCCTGAGGTTTGCAAATGTTCTTTCTTGAGTGATAATTTAAATTTGAACCTCATATATATAGGACTTGTTTTGTCAAGCTTTGGTTCCTTTCTCAGATGGAGTATAAAACATAATTGGCCTCAAGGCCCACATTTTGTTGTTTGGTGTCTTACCATTGATGTTTTCATTGTTCAACAGCTATTCGACCTGGCGATCTCATGTCAGGTGGTACTTTGCTGCCGTGTTGCACCTCTACAAAAGGCTGGAGTCGTTGACCTAATAAAGAGCCGCACAGATGATATGACCTTAGCCATTGGTGATGGTATGTAGGTGATGTTTTCAATTCACATTTTTTTCTTTAGCTAGACTTTTTTTTTTCTTTGTGCATGAATAGCTTGGGTTTCCATGACAATCAGTTGCCAATGCAGTTTTGGTAAAAAAATATATAGGTTTGATGCAATGTTGGAAAATGCTCATTGCTAGCTGTAGTGGGGCCTAACTCGCCTGAAGGCAAATCACTAGGGGCACCTATGGCCACCTGGATCAATTTTTAGAATAGTCATTTCGTGTCGTATTGGCATGTTATGCTCACATTGTACTTCATCTTGGCCTGACTTGGATTTCTTTTCACAGGGGCTAATGACGTTTCAATGATCCAAATGGCAGATGTTGGTGTTGGAATATGTGGTCAGGAAGGGCGTCAAGCTGTAATGGCATCTGATTTTGCTATGGGGCAATTCCACTTTCTTAAAAGATTACTATTGGTGCACGGACATTGGAACTATCAGCGAATTGGTTACTTGGTTCTTTATAATTTTTACCGGAATGCGGTTTTTGTGTTTATGCTTTTCTGGTAAATTTTCTGCTTCTGTATTTGAAATTTTGCATTGACTTTTTGTTTTACGCATCTACCTCCAATGCACCAAAAGAGTCTGTCAATATCCGTGGGGCCATTTTGCGCATTTACTTGTTCCAGAGCTTATATTCTTGAATTGTTTTGTTTGGTTATTATTTAAACCTGATGATCAGCATCATCTGATTTGGCTTCTCATTCTTTATGTTAGCAGTTAGCCACATCTTGATTGTGCTTTATATGGTTTGTCATCTCTGATCATGACTCTTCCTTTTCTGAGTAATTTTTGTTTGTTTCATATAGGTACATTTTGTTCACTGCTTTCTCAACAACCTCTGCACTGACCGATTGGAGCAGTGTCTTTTATTCTGTTCTTTACACTTCAGTACCTACTATCATTGTTGGTATTTTGGACAAGGATTTAAGCCATAGGACATTACTCAAGTATCCAAAACTCTATGCTTCTGGGCATAGACAGGAGAGTTACAACATGCACCTGTTCTGGATAACAATGATAGATACAGTATGGCAGAGTCTTGTTCTCTTCTACATACCCCTGTTCATCTATAAGGAGAGTACGATTGATATCTGGAGCCTGGGTAGCTTATGGACTATTGCAGTGGTGATACTCGTCAATGTGCATTTGGCAATGGATGTTCAGCGCTGGCTGGTATATACCCATATTGCAATATGGGGATCAATAATTATTACGTTTGGCTGCCTGGTTGCAGTGGACTCTATTGTAATCTTCCCTAATTATGGGTTAGTTTTTCCCTATCAGAGTTTTAACAATTTACATTATGCAATCTACATTTAGGTCTCATTTGGCAAGTGATATTTGGCTAAAGTGGCTTAATGGGCAGAGTTTTTTGCTAAGAAAAGCATATGATAATATCCATTTCAGCTACATATCAAGTCAAAAACTACTTATTCTGCTAAAGTGAAGATTAAGCAGAATAAGCCTACCAAATGGAACCTTAGACTGTTTGTTTATTTCATTAAAGTAACAATTTTCTTTTATCTTATGCAGTACAATATACCATCTCGTAATGTTGCCTAGTTACTGGCTCACGATTTTGCTTGTAATAGTGGTGGCATTGCTTCCTCGTTTCATGTTCAAGGTTATGCAGCAAACATTCTGGCCTTCTGATATACAAATAGCTAGAGAAGCAGAGATACTGAAAAAGGGTCCTGGTCATTTTGTGTGTAAGCCAAACCAAGATACAAGCTGATGTGGGCTGTTTTTTATGGCGACCAATTCTATTTTTATACTGGCTGCATGTGTATGCCGGTCTATGGCTTTCTCCTGGCATTTTATTGTACAGACTAACTGGTAAGGCACTTACATTCTTTTGCTGTCTCAATTTCCCTGGTCCTTCCTTCCCTGAGGAGAATTGCATCCTGCCCAATCTTTTTTAAATTGAAGATGGAATACTTCATGCTCAGTCCTTATCATTTTTTTGTTTTCTGAAAGGTTACATATAGGATGCCATTCATGCGTGAACACATTTGTTATTTCCATCCTAATGTCAAACCTAAGACATATTTTGCCCCCTATACACCCTTGTGGTAGATCCCATCCCTGGACCCTCGCCTTGCGGGGATGCCAATGTGCACCGGGCTGCAAAATAAAATAATAAATATTATAGTAGTAAATCAAATGCAAAAGTCTATTCTAAATATCCCTTGTCCTCACAGGTTCTAGGCTTCCCCAAGTCTACTATGGTTTGAAAAACTGACCCAGCCTAATCCTGCAAATTCTCTACCGAACCCCAATCTGTAGCGCAAGTTCTCAATCTGCTACCCTGCCTAGCATCCTTTTTAGAGTACTGAGTACAAACTCATGGAGAAGTTGTCGCTTTAATGAGATAATAAATTTTGTCACAAATTCATATGCATATCCCTATTGATGTCTTTGTATTAACAGCAACAAGAAAAAGTAAAATGGATATGTGAGGATGACTTAGCCACTTTACTATGTTTAATTTTTTTGGCTTCCTGAATGGAGAGTTATTTGTGAACAAGATACTTTTAGCTAATGGATTTGGAGTACTTTTTCATAGATTTGGAGTGCCACAGTATTTTTGTGGAGGGACCCCAAGTGGATTGATTGAATTGCCACTAACTCATCACTGACCTCTTTGGCATTAGCTTGAGTGGATGGTCACTCATTTTTCAATGCTTAGCCTGGATGTGATGATAATGCACATATCCACTAAACGGCTTGATTGTTTGTGGTTTTGAATGGTGGTATTAGTAATTGAAAAGTAACAAGTTGACTATATTGGTTTCAGCTAAATTGTGATTGCGAGCGGGGATAGCCAGTGACGGATTATGATGAGGCAAGTCGAATGACGTAAGAGAAACCGACGGCTGACTGCTTGTTATGTTGTAAGGGTCTCTACTCTCCATTTCTAAAGTATAGCAAAAATAGAACTGAGAAAGCAATACAAGTGTACATTAAGGCTCATGTAAAAAAGCAGGCGTTCATCCTAAGCATGCACAAGTGATCAAATAAAATGAAGCGTATTTTCCATCAATTTTACCGTGCTTCATCTGATGGGTGCTCTGTTTCTGTTGACTTGGTGGATGCATAAATCTTTTATAGCTCTGTTACACTTTATTCATTACATTGCTTTGTCACTCATCCTGATTTTTTAGTTCATACTCCGTATTAGTTAATCACTGCTATAAAGAAGTTAAAACGAGTTGATAGAATTAGTGGGGTGGGGTGGGGTGGGGTGGGGTAGCTGGGGGTGGCCCCCACTCCAGATGGCTGAGCCACTCATTCGGCTGTAAAAAGTTTTGTAAAAATATAACGGAAAAAAATCTTCTAAGTGGCCATTCCAACATTTTTCTGGCTACACAAGAATTACAGAGAGGTGCCCGTATTAATGTATCAAAAAATATTTTTGAATCGGATTTTCCAATATTTGTAGACATCTGAATTTTTTTATAAAGTTTTGGAACATGGATCATATATCTAACATTTTAAAAAGCTGTAGGCTTTTATTAGTAATATGTTTACCAAGTCAAATGTAAAAGATGACTCCCAATTGATGGATGTGTTTACATTTGCAAAGTGCAAAGTTTTGGAAATTACATACGGAGTATTAGACAAGTTTTATGATTACGAATAAGAAATAATAATAAATTGATTACTAAATATCAGGGATGTCCCTATTTGTTTCAAACTTCAAAGTCTATGGTACGTTATTTATAATGGGCTTAATGTTAAAAAAGATAGCAAAATTGTTTTCTGTTTAAACTAACTTGTTTAATAATAATAATGTTCCAAGACCTTTATAATTAAAAAAGACAATTCCATTGCCCGACTTTCTGTTGAACCGGGAAATAACGCATTTACCCATGTAATTTTTAGCACATTCGAAAATTGTAATAATCACTTAAAAAGTTTGCCTTTCATGTTGGACATATCATCATAATCTTATCCGCATAAATCATTAATGTTAAGTAGATGTGGCGATGGGCCGGGATGGGTAGTGCAGAACATGAACCCACCCTGTGATTTTACTAAGTGGATTTACCGCGTCCCATGACTTGGGCGGGTCATTAGATGTTGACTCATGACATCTCGTCGTAATCTAATTAGTTAGTATGCTTTTGTATTTGTGTGAAGTCGTTATAACTTGAATTTACATGAAGTCTATCTTCATTTAATTATGAAAAATAAATATGGAGTATAATAAATCAAAGTCATAATATAGTGTCAATCACCTTGTGATTCGATGATACCGTTGTAACACTCTCTGAATGAGAAAATATGAGGTTCGAAACTCATCCTAGTTAAGGAAGTTGACATTTAACATTGAACACACACTATATGAGACTAGAAAGTCTAGTAAAAAAGTCATAATACAATGAAAACTATCTATAATTAAGAAAAAACAATCTATACTTGAATAGTCAATTAATAGTACCTTTGTCCGACTAACAATGAGACATGAGGAGGTGACACGATTATTAAGAAAAATGTGTTTATGTGATAGATATTGAATTAATAATGTAAGATTGAAGCAAAAATGATTTCGAACCATACAAAATTTATCAAATTTGGTATTAGACAATTTGGTGGGACGGACCGAAAAGGAAAGATGAGATAACCTTAGAGGGACGATTTCGGTTATTAATAACTAAATATATAAAATGCTAAATATAAAAACATGCACATCATTCCTCTCATAGTTTACATGTGCACATTTTATTCGGTAACAACAACAACAACAACATCCAAGCCTTAGTCCCAAAAGATATTGGGGTCGGCTAACATGAATCGATACATGATATCACAATCAAAAGGAAGAGAAGGAAAAAAGATAAAAAGATAAGCTATTATGAAAAGATAATATAAAAAAGATGAATATATATAAAAATGATAAAATAAAAAGGCTGCAAATAATGCATATATATATAAGGATAAAAAAAAACTAGGAAGCAAAAAAAAGATGAGGGAAAAAGATTATCAAGATCACTCCTTCACGTGAATACCCGCCCCCCACTTAGTTCTCTCCAAAGTCATGCCCTCATCCAACCCCAGAAGAAGCATATCACTTCGAACTCCCCTAACCCACGTCTGTTTGGGTCTTCCTCTCCCTCTCTTCCCTGCCTCTTCTCCACACATCTCAACTCGCCTAACAGGTGCATCACTCGGTCTTCTACGCACATGACCAAACCACCGTAGGCGCGACTCCCGCATCTTGTCTTCAATAGGTGCTACTCCCACCCTTTGTCTGATTGTCTCATTCCTCACGCGGTCCTTCCTAGTATGCCCACACATCCAACGCAGCATGCGCATCTCTGCCACACTCATCTTTTGAATGTGACATTGTTTCACCGCCCAACACTCTACGCCATACAGTAATGCAGGCCTAATTGCTGTCCTATAAAATTTACCCTTCAGTCTAGTCGGCATACCTCGGTCGCATAGAAATCCTGACGCACTCTTCCACTTCATCCACCCTGTTCTGATTCTATGGGATACATCTCCCTCTAACTCACCGTCCTTCTGAATTATGGAGCCCAAGTAACGGAACATATCGCTGACTGGTATCTCCTTACCATCCAGAGTAATTCCGCTATTACCACTACTTCTACCTCCACCAAACTTGCACTCCATGTACTCTGTCTTGCTCCGACTTAGTTTGAAACCCTTATTCTCCAATGTTTGTCGCCATACTTCCAACTTTGCTTTAAGACCTGATTGCGTCTCATCAATCAATACAATATCGTCGGCAAACATCATGCACCACGGTATATCATCTTGAATTGACTTCGTAAGTTCATCCATGACTATGGCAAATAAGAAAGGACTCAAGGCCGATCCTTGGTGCACTCGGATAGTAATAGGGAACTCTTCAGTCCTCCCTACACTAGTACGAACACTTGTAGTACAATCCTCATACATATCCATGATGATGCTGATATACTTGCGTGATATGCCTTTCCTAGTTAAGGTCCACCAAAGAACTTCTCGAGGTACCCTATCATATGCCTTTTCTAAGTCAATGAACACCAAATGCAGATCCTTATGAGCATCTCTATACTTCTCCATAAGTTGACGAAGAAGGTGAATAGCCTCAGTTGTTGAGCGACCAGGCATAAAACCGAATTGATTCTCTGAAATCTTCACAGTCCTTCGAAGTCTTTGCTCAATCACTCGCTCCCAAAGTTTCATGGTGTGACTCATAAGCTTAATCCCTCGATAGTTGGCACATTCTTGTACATCACCTTTATTCTTAAATAAAGGGATAAGAGTACTCTTCCTCCAACTCGTTGGCATCTTGTTGTTTCTCCAAATCATGTTGAAGAAACTTGTTAGCCACTCGACGCCTCTCTCTCCCAAACTTCTCCAAGCCTCGATCGGTATGCCATCTGGCCCCATTGCTCTTTTCCGTCCCATCTTCCTCAGAGCTTCTTTAACTTCCGTTGTTTGGATCCTTCTCACAAAATCACGGTTTACCATACAATCTGGTATGGACAAATCGCCGATATCTTGCGTTTTGTTCCCGTTGAATAGTGTATCAAAGTATGACCTCCACCTCTCTTTTATCTCTCCATCGTCCATTAATATCCTCTGATCAACATCCTTCACACACTTAACTTTTGCAATATCTTGAGTTCTGCGATCACGAAGACGAGCAAGTCTATAAATATCTAGTTCTCCTTCCTTAGAGTCCAACTTTTCATACAACTCCTTGTTCACTTTCCCTCGTGCTTCCCTTACGGCTTTCTTTGCTTGTCTTTTAGCCTCCTTGTATGCTTCTATGTTCTCATCACTCCAATTTGTCCCCAACTTTTTGTAGCAATCTCTTTTGTTCCTTATGGCTTGTTTCACCTCATCATTCCACCAAGATGTGTCCTTTTTAGGTGGCCGACATCCTTTAGATTCTCCAAGTACCTCCTTTGCCACTTTGTTAATGGTCAACTCCATTGATAACCACACATCATCCACCTGTGTTTCATTATCAATACACCATACATCTTCACCGACCATTTTGTGTGTAAAGCTTTGTTGAAGATCTCCCTCTAGCCTCCACCACTTTATCTTTGGCTCCATTTGTTGTTTAACTTGTCTTCTATGGTTCTTACCTCGAAAGTCAAGCACAAGCATCTTATGCTGAGTGACAGTTTTATTCGGTAACGTGAATGAAAAATGATCAAAATTCATTGGGAAAAACGTTTAAATACATCTACATGTATAATACGGTATCTGTTTAAAAAATTCGGATAAAAAATACAGGATCTTTTTTTGAACATTTAAATTATATACATCACAAAATAACATATACTAGTAGTAAAAAAGTATACACATTCAAGTAACAAATCTCGTTACTACATAAAAGAATAATTTAAAATTGCATAAATCGATAACAAAAATAGCAATAGAAATTGTAATTAAGTCCAAGACATAATTTTGCAAAATAATGTCAAAAAATAAGTCATAATATCGATAGAATGAGACCAAGTTAACATCATCATCTTTATATGATCATCAAATAACACTCAAGTTAAACTCAACATTTTCAGATGATGGGTGACATGAGAAAATTGTGCAGCTGCTAAACTTATTATTGTGTACGTGTAAATTATAAAGTTTATGAGAAATCTAGTAGTATTTCAAGTTTCAGTCTCAGCTCTCAGGATGCTAGCTTTAGCCTTCATGCAATTAATCTGAGTATTTAGTAATTGTATTGTAACAATACAAAAACACGGGGTCACGAGAGGAAGTTTTTCTTTTTGCTTTTAAACTATTTTTGATCTCCTATGTAATTAGTTAATGTTAGTTGATCAATTCATGCTTCCATTTTTTATAAAATACATAAAACATACGTTTTATACGTGAACTAAGAGTTTTCTTTTCTTTTTAAACGGATCGACCTTATTTTTCATTTTAAATATGTTTTTAATTCAAAAAAATGGTACTTGTTTTTTTTGAAAAAGAAAACGGTACTTGTTTAGAAGGAAAAAAAAAACTAACTAGGGTTTCTTTTCCCCTCTTAATGTTGTTCACCGATCATCCTCCTGGATCCTTCCCTGTGATGGAAGTGAGTGTAGACTTCACCTCTCCCGTCTTCGCTTTTCCGATCTCATCTCTCTTTTTACTACAGAGTGTCAGAGTCACATTTTTTCTTTTACGTGAATGTTATTAGTTGAGTTGCAATCAATTTAATTTGTTTACATTGAAGTGTTGAGACCGAATACAAACAAAGATTCGTCAATCCTCCTATGGAAGCAAAATAAATCATCTACATGACTTCCACTTTGATACTCCGTATGTATGTCCAGTCAGGGCAGAATCAGGGCACTGGACCAAACTTAGCCGGTACAAAGAATATTTTTGGAAAAAATTTGGGGTGGACCAAAGTCTAGGTTGGTCACCCCCTATCTTCACCCATGTGTCCAGCGGTGCAGAGCATGTATATAGAATTAGGTTCAAATGAGGAAATGGTTTCAGGAGAGAAATGAAAATGAATCTAGACCGTTAGATTGTATTCTATGAAATTGGATGTGCATGAAGTGAAATCAAAATGTGCAGCGCAAAGAAACAACACAGTGGTACTATGTGAAAATGAATTGTGCATTAGATAAAACTGAAATTTGCATAATGTGAAACTACAATGTGCAGAATAAAAGCAAAGATGTGAAGCTTATGTAACCTCTGAGAGTTGTGATTGTTTTCAAGTTATGCCTTTGAAGATGAAGAACGCCAGGAAGAGTTATATTTTTTTGGTACAAGAAGAGTTATATACATATATATATTGCAGCATTTTTTTAAGGATGAAGAACATAGATGGTTTTTATTGCGTCAGAATTCTATATAGTGCGTTGAAGTTGATAATTTTTTTGAAATGTCTGTGCATCCACCTCAGCCCCTCACGTTGCGTATATAGGTGATGTGTTCATTTTTTATGGGTGCAATCCACGTCCCCAGTGTAATGCGCTTAGAGAATTTCTCAAAAATATTAGTGAAATAAAACTTATTTACAAATGTATGACCCACAATTACTATAATATAGTGTTATAGTCACTTTTGAGTATAAAAATTGAACATAAATTAATATGACTAAATTACTACTACAGTCACTATACTTAGGAGGTCACATTTTTGTTATCAACACTAATTTTTGTCATATATATGCAATTGTTTCTTATTTAATATACACACTAAATCTTCTTAATCACCATGCATATTCCTGATATAATAATAAAGAAGTATTAAAAACTAATTTACTACATGTATTGGTCTACCTCCGCCCCAAAGAACTTTTTCATTTCATAAAATTTAGGCCATGATTTTTATTAGTATAATTTTATGAATGTTATAAATTTTAAACTTTTATGAAAGTACTCTCAACGAAGAACATTTCCATATCATTTTTTATATTATAAATATTTGTTTTTAAAAAAAAAGAGTCGGTCAAAGTTTTAAAAGTGACAAAGTTTTTTTGGGACAAATATAGTAATTTTTTCTTCACTTTTTTTTGAACCCGGTAGACAAACACCAAAATCAGTGGGGCAAATGCCGGAGAACATTTGCCGGGTTTTATTAAAATGAAAAAGAAATACAAAGAGAGGGGGACTAGGCCAAAACCTCTTAAAAGGAAAAACAGATGGAATAATTACAAAAGATTAATGAGAAAATCTAAGAGAAGGAACCCCAATTAAGTTCATATAAAAAGCGTTTTTGGCTTGGGCTGGCAAATCCAGGGTCCGAACAAAAATCGTAATTAACTTTATTAATAAAATACTCCGCGAATTCAGCCGAATCTACATGGCACGTTCCTAACAATCTCATGGATTGTCAGGACTTACACGGTTAGTTACCGGAGAAAGCATCCAATATATAGATATGTTTGAGGAGGAAACTCCCTTGTTTCTCCGGTGTGGAACAAAGAGTTGTGGAAACAAAATGGAAAACTGAGGCTTTGAATTAAAAACGAATGACACTAACCCCCTTGGCAACCATCCGACTGGAGTGCTTCGTTTGCTTCTTTTGGACTGCGTTTTATTTTATATACATTTAGTAAAGGTGATTAACTATAAAATTTATTATAATTCTTATTAATAAAATGTCGGTTCAGTTCAAACCGATATATTGGAATCATAAACCGATTCCGAATCGTTTTTTTTTTCAGATCTCAATTTTCAGGTCCCAAATTATCGGTTCAGTTCGATTCGATTTTTTTCAAAAAGATTCGGTTTTTTTATTCGGTTTTTAATTTTTCGGTCCAAAATGCCAACCCTAACAAGAAAGCACACACTCCTGTACATCCATATGGAATTACGGAGTATTTTAAAAAGAATATAACCGTTGGTATTTCGCTGCGGTTCAAACAGGAAACACAAAATTCGACCGTTACCCTAAAATACGACCATTGACCCGTTTTATAATCTCTCAGGCATTTTTTAAATTCAATCATCAAATCAGAAACTCAGCAAAATCTCTCGGTTCTTTCACCCGTCTTCCCACACAAACGATCAGCCCATCTTTGTTCTGATCTGATCATCAATTGCTGTGGATGACAATCCGAGCGTGTATAGGTAGTTGATGAAGTGGATCATCAGTTTTTTTTCAGAGAGCAGTTGAACAATTGAACGACGATTTTTGTCTCTCTCAACTAATAGAAATAGAAAGAGAACAGAGATGGATGTCGAGAACGCAACACAGTCGTCCTCAATCATGGAGCCGAAGACCGTTCACCCATTGCACCAAATCTCGGAGTTCCCAACCCACAAGCTCCTCCTCAAGCAATGGCTCAAGGAAGAAGATCTAATCTTCAACAGAATCGTCGCAAAGGAGACTCAAATCGACTCCATCAGAAAGGAGATCACGCAGCTCTGCTGTCTCTTCTTCCTCTTCCACTCCCTCTGCCTAACCATCCTCTTCAGCTCCGCCGCTCGATCCCGGCCGGAGGAAGCCGGAATCTACTGCCGCAGATCGTGGGTCCCGTCTCTCTGCTCCCTTCTCTGCTCCATGGGACTGATCTGGGCGGTACGGTACAAGACCGACACCGAGGCGCATCTGGAGAAGCTTCTGGAGCGAGAGAAAGAGGACGGGAAGCTGTTACGGAAGTGCGTGGAGGAGCTGAAGAAGAAAGGGACGGAATTCGATTTGCTGAAGGAGGTGGATGCGCTGAGAAGAGCAAAGAGTATGAGAATGGAAGGTAAGGCGGCCGTGAGGAAATGGTCTGGCAGAGATTTGATTACTCTATTCTTCTTTACAGTTTCCTGTGTTGTTCTTTCCCTTACGAACCTCATTTTGTGTGGCTGAGGAGGGATGGGTTTCTTCTTTTGATTTTGCTTTTATTTATTATTACTGTGCTTTCTGGGATTATTACACTTTTCCTGGAAAAATTGAGGGGAGTACTTCCGATTTGGCGATCTGCCGAATGCCAGAATATGCTGTTCTGGTTTTGTAATTTAACAATTCTGTTCCCACTCTGTCCAGATCCTCTTGGTGAAAATGAAGGTTATAGATGTTGGCCTTATAATTTTAGGTCTTATTTATTGTTGCTTCTCATATGTTTGCTTTTGGAAGTTTTTTTCCGATTTAATGTTAATTAATTAAATAATTACAGAAATAATGTTGGGTTAAGACTATCTACCAATATACTGTTGGGCTTAACTCTGGTCGGAGAAAGTCGCTAAACCGTTTGACGACTTATAAGTCACCAAATCGGATGGTGACTTATAAGCCGCCAAACCGTTTGACGACTTTCCCCTTCTCAAATACGTTAACATCCAAACGTTCTGTTTCAGACCGGCGCCGGTCTGGGCCCAACCGGGGTCGGTCGGGGGCGCCCTGGTGGCGAAAAATTGGGTTTTTTCGTCCTAAATCGATCCCGATTATCGCAATTCACCGTTTCACAAAACACAATTTGGTAAAAATGATACAAATCGACACACCTGCTTAGAATAGAATATAAAAACAGCGTATAGACATCCGATATGCATAACCAAGCACATCCTAATTAATAAATTCGAAAATTATCACTTTAAACCCTAAGTTCAAAAATGAGATGAAATTGGGGATTTGATGTACCTAGAGGTTGAAGAAGATGATTGAGGAGTGTGTTTAGTAGGTGGAATGGTTCTGTAGCTGTAGTCGCCATAGTGGGTTTCTGCAATCGTTCTTCGCCGGAGCTCTTTTGTTGGCTTCAATCGTTCGTTTTATCTGATAAGGTCTCCGCAACAGTTCATTAAAGGGCAAAGTCGCCAAACGGTTTGACGATTTATAAGTCGCAATTCGGTTTTAACCCAATAGTATATTTGTAAATAGTTTTACCCAACATTAATTACGTAATTATTTAATTAATTAGTATTAATCCGGAAAAAAACTCTTTTGTTGGATCATCTTGTTTTTTGTTACCTCAATTCCATTGTGTTGCTTATTACTATTTATTATTCATTTTAATATTTGTTAATCATTTAGGTTTAATTTACATTTAATTTACTAATCATTCCAATTTTTTGGGTAATAAGACTTGATTGTTTTATTTAGATATATATATATATATATATACACACACACAGAGAGAGAGAGAGAGAAGATCATGTGAGAAGTCCCCCTTAGGCTGAGAAGCTGCGAAATCTAACTTATAAGCTCAAAACACGAACTTTTAACCAATAAATCATAACTTATAGATCCCCTCCAAAAAAATTACGAAAATGCCACCACGTCAAAATAACTCCAGAAACCTGGAATTTTTTTTGCAGAAAATTCGTGTTTTTGAGGGGATCTATAAGTTATGATTTTTTGGTTAAAAGTTCGTATTTTTTTCTTATAAGTTAGACTTCGCAGCTTCTCAGCCTAAGGGCACTTCTCGGCTGATCCGCTCCCTATATATATAGGGAAGAGTTCAAATGAAAAGTGGTCTTCTCGTGCAAAGTGAAAAGTTTTCACTTTTTCATGTTTCGCTTGCACTTTTTGTTGTTTGCGTTGCACTTTTTGGCCATTTTGATTTTGGCCAAATTCGGCCAAAATGACGGTGGCAATTTTGTAAATAAACCAATTTTTTGAGCTATCGCGAAAAAGTGCAACGTAAGCAAGAAAAAGTGCAAGCGAAACATGAAAAAGTGTAAACTTTTCACTTTGCACGTTAAAACCTCTTTTTATTTGAACCATCCCCTATATATATAGGGGAGAGTTCAAATACAAAGAGGTCTTCTCATGCAAAGTGAGAATTAATCTCGTGCGTTCATTTTGAGATCTAATGGCTCAAAATGAGCCAAAAGTGAACTAAATTTGATCAAAAACGCGGTGACAATTTCGTAATTAAAACGAAGTTTTTTGCCATCGCGAAAAAGTGCAACAGAAACACGCAAAAGTGCAACAAGAAAAAGTGCAATTGTTCGCACTTTGCACGGAAGAATCTCTTTTTATTTGATCTCTTCCCTATATATATATATATATATATATATATATATATATATATATATATATATATATATATATATATAGATTTAGGATCATATAAAAACACCTCTTATCATGAAAAATGAGAATTCATCTCATCCATTTAATTTCTTACGTAGGTAAAAGGATGGCCTTGATTTGAAGCATTGCGCATGGGGTATTATTGTCCTTCCAAATTATTTCCTTCCGTTTTACCAAAGCTCCATAATGGTAAGTGAATTTATTTTGCTCCTTGATTAATAACTTGCCGTTTTTTTCTTGATTAATAACTTTCCGTATTACATTCATCATCTTCCATCGGCTTATTCATTTCCATTTCTGCCGCAGGCTTGTATCTTCATCTGCTCTTTACATTATTACGTACGATCGCCCAAGCTCAACCCAGGTATTATTACGTGGGTAACTAATATTTGTTTTGTTTTGAATGCATTACGTACCAAATTACGTGGCTGTTCAAGACTTCTACCTAATCCTAATAAAGATCATATCATCTCTCCTTTGTATCCTATGTTATTCAAAGTGTTATTGGGTATCCTTTAATGGAGAACGGTATGTATGTTATTTTAGTTCACTACTTTTATATCATTTGAAGTTGATATTTGATTTGTTAATCTTTTTTTACGTTTTATCACTCATGCAACGTCGTATGGTCTATCGTTTTCAACTTTCTTAATCCGGACTATGTTCCTTCTTTTTTTGGCCCTGTACATTGTCTTTTCTGGTGTTTTGTATCCACCATTTAAATTTTTTAATGCACCATTGCTCTTATTTATCTGCACTTAAATGTCACCATAAGTCACTCCCGCATTTTGTGATTAAAAAATGTTCTCATGATTGTGTTTTCTTTAATTTTTTTAATGATAATCCCAAATATTCTATACATGCAGACTCCTATGTTCACTCTTCTTCTGCTAGTTTCTCCAATAATGACACTCCAATTTCACCTACATCACCCGATATTTGTTCTAAGTTGCAAATATCACCCGGTAAGACCAAATATTGGATTCCCAATTGTAATGATGATGTGAAGCCGTATATTGGTCAGATTTTTAAAAGTTTGAAGGAGGGTATTGCATATTATAAGGAGTATGCTGCAATTACTGGTTTTGGTATTCGCCTCGGTACTTCTTCAAAAGCTAGGGATGGTACATTAAAGTTGAAGTATGTCGTTTGTAGTAGAGCGGGGTTCAAAGAGAATGTAAATAGCCAAACACCTCAAAATGGAAATAGTCAAACACCTATAAACTACCCGGTGGCAGAACAAAGCAACCAACCTGAGGATCCCAATCCAAAAAAGAGATGCCGGTTATCCAATAGAGTTGGATGTAAAGCGCGCATTGCTTTCAAATTTTGTGGCCTGCGTGGATACTCAGTGTTTGGCTTTGAAGAGCGTCATAATCATCCTATGACATCTAATTTAGCGAAACCATTTTTGAAGGTGAATAGGAGTTTGGATATTGGCCACCAAAAGTTCATTGTGAACTGTACAAAGGCTAATATTGGCACCATTAAATGTTATAGATTATATAAGGAATCCGTTGGTGGATATTCTAATATCGGTGCAACGTCCGTTGACTTTAAAAACTTTAAAAGGGATTTGAAGGCATACATTGCTGGTGTGGATGCACATATGCTAATTGAGAAGTTGTTTAGAAAAAAAGAAGTTTGTTCCGCCTTTTTTTTTAATTATGACGTAGATGAAAATGACCAATTGACTAGGCTTTTCTGGTGCGACCCGACTGCTAGGGTTAACTATACCATGTTTGGTGATGTTGTTTCGTTTGATGCAACATATGGCACAAACAGGTAACATATTTTTTAATCGCATGTTGTTATCATATTATTTTTTGTAGATCCACGATGTCATTCCCTTAATGCACTGTTTACAAACATGACTGCACTTTTTTCCCACCTATGATCCACTAGTAAACTGAATCGGAAAACAATCTCTTTTAATTACACAAACATGCTCCTGTACACAATTAAATATTTTAAAACCATTTTTATTTTTTAATTTCTGTATACATGTTATAGTTTTATATAAATGATCTGGTTTTAATGAATTGTATCATATTCATGTAGGTACAATATGGTTTTTGCTCCATTCACAGGTGTTGACAATCACAAGAAATGTGTCACTTTCGCAGCTGGGCTATTGTTAAAGGAGGACGTGGAATCATATGTGTGGATTTTTAGACAATTTCTTGATGCAATGGGTCGTGAACCAATTTGTGTCATCACGGATCAAGACCCATCCATGAAAATTGCATTCACTAAGGTGTTTACAACATCTGCCCATCACTTTTGCATGTGGCATATAATGTCTAAAGTCTCATCCAAGGTCGGCCCTGTTTTGAGTAAGAACTCTGAATTCATGTCTAAGCTAAACTATGTTGTGTGGAGCCACTATCTAGAACCTGATGTGTTTGAGAAAAAATGGACCTCCATAATGGAGGAATTTGGATTGCAAAATCATGTTTGGTTTTCAAACATGTATGAGATCCGCAAGGATTGGATTCATTCTTATTTTAGGGATTTGTACATGGCGGGATTACTTCGTACAACATCCAGATCTGAGAGCGAGAACAACTTTTTTGGTGAATTTTCCAATCCTCACTTTAGCCTGGTTGAATTCTACATGCAATTTGAGAGTGCCATGGATGCACAACGGCACTCTAATGCAAAACTAAATGCTGATTGTGAGTCTTACTTTCCAACATACAAGACGCCACTAGCTATCGAACGATATGCCGCAACAGTATACACACTCACTATTTTTTCAGATGTGCAGTCTGAGATTTGTTCCGCGTGTTTTTCATGTCGTGTTACAAGCCTACGTGAGAACGAAGATTGTTTGGAGTATTTGATCTCTGATGAACGTGGTTTGAGATTTACTGTTCATTGTAAATCGGATGCCACTAATTTGACGTGCAGCTGCAAATATTTTCTACGTCTAGGTTTGGTTTGCAGGCATATGTTCGTTGTGCTCAAAGATTTCAAATCTGAATGCATCCCAGCTGATCTCTTAAACACACGCTGGTTTAAGAGAGGGTGTATAAAACCATTGTTTGATATCGGTGATGCAGTGGTTCAAAGTGCAGCCTTGGAGGAAAAGAAGTTTGTTGTTAATCAATTGTGGTCTGATATTCATTCATGTGTTGCAATGGTAGAAAATGATCCTTCTCTGTTGCGACAGTTTGCATCACTGATCACACAAAACAAGGAAATTATTGCATCTACAATGCAAGATGCACAATCTTTAACCAACAAAACTAGTGTAATTCAGTCCTTTTTTGGCTCCTCCGCACCCACTTCAGTGAATGTTCTTCAACCTCCTCAAGCACACAACAAAGGTTCGGGTAAGAGAATTAAAGGTGCTAAAGAGTTGGCTGTTGCTCAGAGCCAACGTGCGAAGCGGTTGTGTAGAAGTTGCAATGAAATGTCATATCATGATAGTAGAAATTGTCCAAAGAATAGTGCTCTTTAAGAATGTTTCAGTTGCATGTTTTAAATTCATATGTTTACAATTTGCATTTCTTGGGATTACTTCAATTTTTTTATCAACCATCAGTCCAAATAAAGATTATGACTTTCACAATTCAGTTTCATGTATTTTCCGCACACTTCATTATATCTATTTCATATGTCATTGTTGTTTTTGTCTACAAATGTATTGGCTTTCTTGTCTATTTACATGTGCAATGAATATTTAAAAATCATTTTACCACTATACAACCACATATTAGATGCCAATACATATTTTGTGTACACATATTTTGTGTACACATATTCCACGAATTAGTTTAATCTAGTATTGATTTTTATTATCGCATTTCGACTTGTTTAATATCAGTCATCATTTCTATATACTTCACCCAAAGCCTAGACAATCTTCATTATATTCACATATTCCATTCGTTCATCTAAAAACATTGTCGATCATAAACTACCAGTGTGCAGACATTACATAATTTCACATTTGCTGTTTTTCACTTTAGCGAACCTTGTATTCACAATTCTTAACTGTTCATCCTATATTTTCAAAAATCAATCCAATAAGTAGTATTACCATAAATCGACCTCACCTCTTAAAAACTTGATTCACGTACCCAAAATTTTTGATTTTAAGTAATTCGTATTGTGCTTTTATTAAAGCATTTTAATCTTTTTTAGGTTCACTTTTTCGAACTCCACTTTAATACAATTTAATGGCATAAACCACCAAAACCATAATCTGAATTTCCGTATTCACAGGACATTAACGTGTAATTTCCTGCATTAGAAGTGTGCGTACTATTCATTCATTTAAATAACACATAGATTCACTGTTATCTTAGTACTATGCACTTATACATTACTAGTAAAACCACATCCATCCAGTTAGTTCAATCCACATAGTCTATACTCCAACATAAACTCAGACAAATAATTGTTAACGAACCATATTAGTATGAGTTCACATGTTCCATAATAGCAAAAATTAAATGAACTTAATAAATGTTTTAAGACACCAACAAACAACCAAAAACATTAATTGTTTTGAAAACGCATAAATCACTTCTTAGACTTCAACTTTGCATACTCTTTTGCCTTGATTAAATTCTCAGTCTTCAGCTCATTTATTATGTCTTCCAGTAAAACAGCAGCTGCGTATTTAACCCTTAGTCCTAATATCTGCTTCTTGTCTTCATGTCTAAGTCCACAATCCCACCCCGTCAGTCCTTCGCCTTTATACGTCTCCATATGACGCATTGCAAACACCCCATAATCAATGACATTACTCGTATCCCTCCAAGACATGGAAACTCGGGTTGGTTTTGTCTTGGGCAACGGTGCTGCTGTGTTCTCCATTCCTTTTGCTTTCAAGTACTCCACAAATGCCGACACCTGTAATTGATTAAATTATACCAAATTACTAACCATTTTCTGAAATACTAATTTTCAGAAAATTATATAGTTCTCCTAATGTGCATAATCTAATTTTCAAAATCATATTGTTCTGAAATACTTTTCTTACCACAGCTGCTGGCATTTCTTCATATTTATCCCTCATTGAGACTCTAGCAGATGAGTTATCTAATATGTCTATTCTCTTGCGCTTCAGATTCACGCAAATGACATAACAATGTCTCATTTGCATTATAGGGAAAAAGAACTGCACAATCAACGAAGAATATTTTAAATGTTTATGATACACTACTACACTGTGCAGTAAAATTTATCACTTACTAGATCTATTTTGTCCAGGTCAACATCCTGCCTCACCACATCAAGTCCAAACTCCACTGCATCAGTTAGTATGTTATATACCTCCTCCTTTGTTTTCACCACCTCATCAGCCATTGTGTACAACTACAGTTCATTACAAGCAATTACACAAAACCATATAACATTATACATCTATTCTAATCACACGTGTCACTTACACAATTCATTGTCTTTGCAAATAAACGAGAAGGCGAGAAGGTGCTCCTATTTCTCTCTCTGTAGTTTAGAACAGTTACCCAAACATTCAAAACCTGCTCACTGATCTTACACCCTCCCTTTATTGTCATCAAATCCTCCCGCGTGACATTGTAGTCCTTATATTTGAACACTTTCTCTTTCCTGTGCATTTAAACCATCACATTTTTTGAATTACTATTTACTAAAAAAAAGTACTTACATGTCAGCTCCTTCCCCTTGCAAAAGCCACCTCGCCATCTCCCGCTCAAACATCTTTGTAGGTTCTGCTGCATCAACCACTCTTGACACGTATGGTGACTTTAGGAACCGTGTTGTCTTTTGCTTTCTCTTATGTAGCTCTTCTGCAACATCAGCCTGTTTTTTATCCCCTTCCTCTTCTATATTCACCTTAACACATACAAAATTACACAAATGTTGTCAATCAATCACATACTTCACACGCAATTCAAATTTATATTAATATCTCATTTTGTGTAATGACATTACTCTATATCCACATTCAATTACTAATCTGCTATTTTTACTAACCTTACTAATGTCCTCGTGATGCGTATTGTTTGGAATGACATGCTCACCATCACCATCCGGTTGTGTCAAGCCTATACTGAAGCTAGACACGCCACTTATTTTATCATTGTCATTTGCCTTTTGCACGAAAGCGTTGGCGACGTTGTCAAGCGTTGAAATATTCACCGGGTTCGACCAGAATGCATCAACCTCGTTAATCACATTTGTTTGCACCCCAGTTGGTGTGCACTGATCTCTGGTCAATGTGTTAAGCCCCAGCAATTTGTTCGCAGAATCTAGCACTTTAACAAAGTCCTCACTACCCACTACGGCTTCTTGTGCCTCTTCAAACATCAACATTATGTCACTTGTAGCTTGAACAAGTACATTTGTTTTTTTGGCAAACTTCACCATCAAGTCCTGCTATTATATGTAATATTAAAGTCAGTTCATGCTACTTTTAATACAAATCATACACTTTTAGCACCTATCAACTTTAACTTTTACAATAAATTCATATATTGGTACCTTTAATACAAATCATACCTCACCCAAACTTTCTTCACACTCCATGCCAGCCTGCTGCCTTGTGTTGCCATATTCAAACTCTTCATCACTGCATTTCCTTTCTTTCTTTACAGGGCCGTCCACATCCCCAAACCCAAAGCCTCCTGATTTCACTTCATCATTCTCCCGATCCCTCAAAAGTCTTGTTGTCCATCCTTTGATTGTTGGACACATCCAGGGAACCTTTCTTTTATACAGAACTACTCTGTCCACATAAAACATCTGCACCAAACATGTCAATGTCATTATTTGAAACCACATTATTTTTCATTTTAATATATCTATTCAAGAACTAATTTATTTTAAACCTAAATGTGTCTTACCAGCAAGAATAGTAGTGGTCCAGTGTAGCTTTTGTTGATATTACTTTCCCACGTCCTTTTGTTTTCTATCAAACAACTTATAACATAGTCACACCAATTAAGCTCTTTAATGCCCTTCACATCCTCTAAATTGTTCAGAATTAACGGATTGGCGTACCCATTCTGTGTACTATCCACCAAAAGGGACACCACCAGAACCAAGAAATGACGCACAAACCAGTCACCGGCATCTGTACACTTCATCATTTCACTGCAGACCACCGTTGGTGTAATCAAGTTATCCTCTTTCCCAAACATTCCTCTCCATTCGTGTAGCAGTGCACATTCTTCTCTTTTTTTCTTCTTTTTAATTTCTCTCCCTCCATTAGGAAATCCCAAAACTCTCTGCACGTCTTTCGCGGTGATTTTCACCTTACTCCCATCTGCCACCGTTATCTTGCCATCGCGAGCATCATAATGTTGCACTACCCAGAAACTCAATGTTGAGGGTAATTCCAAAATGTCAAGATGTAATAGACCTCCAAACCCAATCTCTTTTACGGCAGCACGCTGCGCTTCATTCATTTGCTTCACTGCTTGCGACAGCAGAAATGGTGATGATCTTGTTTGAATTTTGACTTCAAATCCTGCGGTTTGTGTTGCTTTTTGATCTTCCCACCAGTTTTTGATCCAACATTATTCCCTCCAACCTTCTCCTTACATATACGCATCTCTGGACCCTCAACAAAATCATCATCAGTTGAATTATCAACTCTTTCCACGTAATCGCTATCTGTTTCATGTTCACTTTCACAACTATCATTCTCGTCCTCGTCAAAGTTCAATCTCTTTGAAGTATTGCAAGTTGCACTTCTAGTTTTTCTTTTGTATTTCGCATTCACACACTGCACTTTCATCCTTTTTGTGTTCTTTTGCGCAACATGTACTGGATTTTTCTTCCGCTTTGCAATCACTCTTGTTGCTTCCTCCACACCTGTATACATTATACATATATTAACGTGAGAACTTGTATAGAAAAGTTTTGCACATCTAATAACTACATGTACACTTTAACATAACACACACTACGTGCACTAAATCACTCTCCAATACCATTCTTCCATTGAACGTGTCTGTTCACTTTTTACAACGTCATTACCAGCTCAAATTGTATTACTCACTGCCTCATATTATCAATAATACTTTCACTTTTTCAAATTAAAAATTTATTTTTTCCATTCCCAAATAAACTTTTACATTTCTCACACTGTTCACTAATTCAATCTCCAATACCATTCTTACTTTGAACGTGTCAGTTCACTTTTTACAATTTCATTACCACCTACAAATGTATTACTCAATGCCACTTATTTTCAATAATACTTCCACTATTTCAAATCAAAAATATATTTTTTCCATCCGCAACTAAACTATTACATTGCTCGTTATAATACAAATTTAAATTGCTTTTAAAATCATACATGACTAACTCATCTCCACTATATAAAAACACTTCAATTCAAACTACTAATTTGTCACACATACTTATACACACTTTCCTTTTT